GACGTGTGGAGCCCCGCACCCACCCACCTGGCGAGTGGGGGATCCCCCAACTGCCTTAACTCAATACGTCACTAAAGGCTCAACTCCCCTCTGCGTCTAGTTCTATGAATAGCGAGCGAATGGCCTTGCGGCTGGAGGATTGCCTACTACACGATGCCCTCCCCTTGTGCAGGCGGACGCGAACCACGCGGTGCGGCTGTGGGTGCAGCAGCAGCGGCTGTCGTGCGGCGCGCAGTGGCTGCGGGTGCGCGACGGCGACTCTCTCGGCGGCCGCCTGCTGCTCTCGCTGGACTCGGACCAGCCGCCGCTGCCGCCGGCCTCGGCCACCGCCGGCCACCACGTCGAGGCCGTCTCCTCCTCCAACACGATGCTCGTCGAGTTCTACTCGGACGAGGCCGTGGCAGCGCTCGAGGAGTGCGCCGCCGGTTTCCTGGCCCACGCGCAGCAAGCAGGTCAGTATGCGTGTGAGTGTGTGTGTGTGTGTGTTTGTGTGGTTTGTTTATGAAAGCTACGGCCTCTTGCTTTTCGAGTAAACAACTCAGCCATCGTTGTAAAAGGAAAAGATGAAGCAAAGAAAATAGGAGCTCGAAGGGTCACGGTCTGTCGCCTTACTTTTTTTTTCGACGTTTCTCATAATGTATTTTCGCTCGCTTCCATGCCTTTCAGTGCCGGCGAACGAGACGCTTGTGGGCTACCCGCTGGCGGTCGCGGGCGCGGGGGTGGCGGGCATGGGCGCGGTGGGCCTGGTGGGCGGGCCCGACGCGTGGTGGGCGGCCGGCCTGCGGCTCACCATCGTGCACGCGGCCGCCGTCGCCTTCCTGGGCTGCGTGGTGCTCCTGTCGGCCTGCCTGTGCGCGCAGTACGGCCACCGCTACCGCAAGTACCAGCTCACCGCCGCCAAGGAGGACCAGGAGACGCTGTCGCTCACCGACAACGAGGGTGAGTAGATAGTGCATGAAATAAATAAATAACCCTCAATTCACAATCAAAGTGTTCTCGGTTCTTAAACAAGGCGGATCAATCTTTTGATGGTTCTCAAAAGTACTTACCGTCGTGTCCGTGCAACAACATCCTATCTGTTTCGCTCAGCCGCAAGACCATCCTATCTGTTTCGCTCAGCCTCAAGACCATCCTATCTGTTTCG